CCAAACCAAGATCCCTGTTTTTATTTACTCAAGGTCTCACAGCTGGTTAGAATCCTGGGGCCATCTCCCAGTTCAGAGCTCAAGTCTCCAAGTGGTAATTTGAGATTTTCTGACTTCCATGCGTGGAAGACTGAACTCAAAACTCTTAGCCCTACCCTCTGTATCCCACTTTAAATCCACCTAATCTCTCTAGCCATTTCCACAAGCGAACCAGAGAAATATGAGGAGGCAAGGAGGAGAAATGGGAAGGGAGCCTGCTATGTCTTTCATCGAGTTCAAGAGATTGCTTCTGATTTGGCAACTCACTGTGGAAAAATTCAGTGTGGCTTCTCTTTAAGTCTAGGCCTCTCCTGTTTGTGTTCTTGACCTTGCCTTATTAAAATCCTTAAAAAAAGATACATATATATATATATATATATATATATGAATATAATATAAATTTAAATTATCTATGTTCATTGGTTTCTTCCGGTTAGGCCTGCAGATATGATCATTTTTTGCTTAATAAAAATGTTCCCTTGGCTTTGTTTCCCCTTAAGGTGATCATCATTTCTTAAGGAATTTTTTATAATCCCCATTATTAGAGGATATTATATTTAAATAGATAAAAGAAGGATGGTATGAGTGGTATGAAATCATATATCATTAAATGCCAAAATGTTTACCTTGTAATTTCAATCTAATAGTGGAAGAGGAGTATATGAAAATAGAGTCATTTGTAGTTCAGGGGAAACGTGATTTTCACACATTTATAGCTTTCCTAAGTATTATAGTTTTCAAAGGAGTCTGAAATTAGATAAGGATGTCTGTCTATTTGGGAATGAGGCTGAAGAAATTTTTGCAGTGGAAAGAGGTATAATCTAGATGACTAGAATCTAAGCCTTTATGATCTTTTGGTATATTTTATAATTCTGTGATATGGAAGCATACGCTTGTGCTTTTTCTTCCTAGTCAAATAGAAGATACCATGGACTTTCAAAAAAGAACAAATAAGAATACATATCATTCTTATGCCCATTATCTCTGTCTCTAGCAGTGATTTAATAGCATTTTTCTTTCCTTACTGATGGAAAATGTTTTTATATATAATATTAATGAGATATATAAATTTGCTCAGTAATGACTTTGGAAATAATATGGTCAGTTCTGTCTGCAGTATAGAATCTGTGCTCGTGTGGGGCGCCTGGGTGGCTTAGTCGGTTGAGCGTCCGACTTTCGCTTAGGTCATGATCTCGCGGTTCGTGGGTTCAGGCCCCGCGTCGGGCTCTGTGCTGACAGCCAGCTCAGAGCCTGGAGCCTATTTCAGAGTCTGTATCTCCCTCTCTCTCTGACCCTCCCCTGCTCACGCTGTCTCTCTCTCTCTCCTACAAATAAATAAAAATATAAAAAAAAAAAATAGAATCTGTGCTCGTGTATGAGACCCTACACATATATTTTGATAACCCCTCTCCCCACCCCCATGCCAAAAAACTCAACAACCACACCACAAAACCACAGCAACTGCTGTTGGAAAGAGTCCTTTGGTCTTTTTCAGTGTTAGTCATTCGTTTGAAGAAAGAAAAAGTCCCTCAGAATGCTTTATAGAGCTCTCTTTCAGGCATGAAATTCGAGTTGATGTGCGTGTGGGTATTTATAGGGAGAACAGGTCAAATATGTGGCCAGAGTATTCCTCTTAACAGTCACAGAGTCAGATAGGTGAGGCTACAGAGAGCAGAGGGCAAGAACTGGGAGAAAGGTCCAGCGATGCCATACTCATGACTCGAGCATACGTTCCGTGGCTGCAGCCTCTTTTACCTGCTCCTGGCATTTTGCTTAGTTTTGTCCTGCTCTCTTCTTCACTTGGGACTTTCAGCTGTGCTCTGAGAGTTAAATAAAAAGCATGGAATGGAAAAATGCAAAAGGGAAAAAAAGTAAAGCCCGAAAACAGGCAAATGCAGGGATATATTGACAACCTTGGCAGTTGAGGAAATAACGCCCTTATACATCCCTCATAAATATGCAGCCATGTCTTTTAGTTTTCTGATGCCCTGGGGACATGCTAGTGCTTTAATACTCTAACATGGGAATGAGAGAGAGAGAGAGGGAGAGAGAGGGAGAGAGAGGAAATATCCAGCTTTCTAGTCTCTGGATGTGTTAGGAAGTATTTTCATTTATAGAATCTTTTGGCATAGTTTTTCCTTTTTAAACATGGCTTACTTGACTTGCCTGATACTCCTGCCTTGTTCTCCCAAGCTTACCCGATATTGTGGTTTTTGTATTTATGACACATTTAGAATCTTCAGGCATCTGCCTCAAAAATATGATTGGCTAAGCATCGTCCAAGCGAGAAGCACTTTTCTCAGAGAAGATACAGCTTCCTTTGGGAATGGGACCAGGGAGTAAAGCCAGAAGAAAGGAGAATATAGATTTCTAGAAAGAACAGTGGACTGGCAATCAAGAGACTTACATTTGGTTTCCATTAAAACTAACCTGTGGTGTACCTGGGTGGCTTAGTGGGTTGACCATCTGACTCTTGGTTTTGGCTCAGGTTCATGATCCCAGGGTTGTGGGACTGAGCCCTGAGTCAGGCTCTGTGCCTGAGTAGGGACTGCTTAGGGTCGTTTCTATCCCTCCATCCCTCTCCCCTGGCTTGCGTGTATACTCTCTCTCAACAACACCACCACCACCAAAACTAACTTATAGTTGATGACCTTAGCTAAGATATTTATCTTGTCTGTAATGCAGTCTTAGTATCTGAAAAGAGTGTATGTGCAGTCCCTTTGAGAATGAACCTAACAGACCTTAGAGAGCATGTTTCTAATTTTGATTTAGAAGCAGTTGGCATGTTGAATGTTCCCCTCTTATTTTTTTTTTTTTAATGTTTTATTTATTTCTAGGAGAGAGAGAGACAGCGTGAGCAGGGGAGGGTCAGAGAGAGAGGGAGTCACAGACTCTGAAACAGGCTCCAGGCTCTGAGCTAGCTGTCAGCACAGAGCCCGACGCGGGGCTCGAACCCATGAACCGCGAGATCATGACCTAAGCGAAAGCCGGGCACTTAACCGACTAAGCCACCCGGGCGCCCCAAATGTTCCCCTCTTATGTTTGAAGAAGAATCTAGGGATCCTGGAGCTGGAGGAGTCTCAAGGAGTCTTGCAGTTTTTGAATCTCTGGGATGAACCAAAACACTCTTGATTTTCCTCGTTATTATCATTACAGCATCTGAACAAAAGACATTTTCACAGAAATCTTATGTTTAGGACGATGAGGGAGTTAAGTCTGAACTTGTTTTATCTCTTATCACCTAAAGCAGGGCTGCACACTGAAGTGTTACCTAATAAGGGTCAGCCCAGTAACCAAGAGTGAGGTGACGATGCTGGCTGTCAGATTCTAGGGAGTGGTAAGGACCGTGGGAATGGGGAACATACACCCTGTGTGCGTGGGAAGGCCGCTTCTGGTGTTTAAGACACCACCTGGGCCCATCAAAACATGCCTCTTCAGTGGCAAAGAGCCATCGTTGGCAGTGGGCAATGTCTAATTGAAAACAATAAATTCATATTATCGGGAATTAAAAATTACATGTTGGAGAATTCTCCAATTTGAATAATAAAATATTGTCCTAGAAGATATGCACAAGCTGTTTCCCTCAGGTATGTAATTTGTGTGATCCTTCTTCAAAGAGGCCGTCCTCTTTCAATATACTTTAATCCCCTTCCATTCTCTTTAAAAAATGTTTTCTTTCCTCAAGAATTGTCACTTTTAGCAAGTTTTCTCTTCTTATATCCTAACATTTTTTTCCCAAAATATGAATGTTGAAGGGTTAGCCTTCTACCCCCAACAGAAGCCCTTGCTTTGAATATTCCTTAACTTTGTTCTAGTTAATTTCACTCCCCCACAAAGAACTTGAGCTTAAGTCTAACCTGAGTCCTCACATTAAGCCCCCTTTCTCACACTTTATTGTTTGTAGGTGGAACAGCTGACTAGTGTAATACCCTTCGTGTTACTCAGTTGAAAATAGCGGGGCTTTTGGGGCACCACAAGTCTGGAAATTTTATCATGGATTTTGTTTTCCTAGTGCTCTGATAATTATCGTGTAATTACTTTACTCTGAACTCTCTCCAGGTTGTACACACACACACACACACAGTATTTTGAACTGTACCCAGTCCTTTTGATGGGCTGACCACAATGGTGAGAGAATATCACTGTCTTACCACTTTTCTCTGAGAGCACCCCGCAACTAGCTCCTATTCACTGTATACTCTGTGACCTCAATATCTTTTTTCTCCCTACTGGCTCTGTTGTAGTCAGACTTCCCTCATATTTTATCCACATAATTCATTTTTCATTTGTAAGTGTGCTACCTTGTAGTCACACTGAGTAAGCACTATCTTGTTTTTGATGGATCATTTCTATCTCTGATTTGTCAAGGTTACTTGGAATTCTATTATTTTTCAGAAAAGTTGGAAACCTTAACTTGGTTTGTAGCTATGAAATGACTGAGAATGCTTTCAATTCCATTATGACAGCCATTGATTAAAAAAAAATTCAATCATATTGGACCCACGAGTCTGGGTGCTGTTTTAGAACTACCCCAAGTTGCATCAAGCCATTTATTTCTGTCACTGTTAACTAATGGTTTTCCTCTTTCTGGATGTTTTTATACTCCACAGACATTGTTATCATAATCTCTTTTTTGATTATAGACACTAGATACTTTCAACATACATCTAACATACATTCAACATTTGAATGATTAGAATTACAGGGTCTGTGGTTGGTGGCAGTGGAGGAAATAAACCCAATAATTGTTTAATTTATGCATGTTTAATTTATTTTATATTTATAGTAGCAAGATAAGAGAAAATAGGGGAACCTGTACATGGAGTAGAAATATCTCTTTTGTAGATATTTTGTTCTGCATTGGACTTTGAGAATGTCTATGCTTTGATTTAAATTTAATAGCCAGTGTCTTACTGAATATATGAATGTAATGAGATGCATTTTTGTTATTGTCATTACAGGTTTTGGAAGATAACAATGAAATGTGAAGAAGTTACATTTCTTACGTGATACTTGAAAGTTAGTGACTGCTTGCCAGATTTTCCCGAGAATTAAGTATGACTTAGAAGCATTGATGTATGAAGGTTTATGATGTCATCGTTTGCAACGGAAAGCAAACTCCAGCAGGCTGTGAGCCTGCAGGGAGTTGACCCAGAAACATGCATGATTGTATTTGAAAACCACTGGGCACAGGTAAGGTATGAGCTCCACTTCCTCTGCTGGCCTAGGTAGCTCTTGAGGTCTCTATCACATTAAATCAGGATTGCCTCCCTCTATGGTAGTAACTAGGCCTCCAGAAGTATAGGGCACGAAACCTTTCAGGTAGAAGCAACTTTTTTTCCCCCATAGAATAGGGATCTGGTTAAAAACCGTGGTTGCCATCAAAGCAATTAGGGAACATGTATGTTGCTCAGGTATTTTTAGAATAGCAGTTGGCCTTAAAGTGACTTTTGCATTACTTTGCATTAGACTTGTGATTACAAACTCTCTTTCCTTCCTTCAAGATGATTTGCATCTAGTCCTCCCACTCCAGTAGCACTAAAATACACATTTATGAAATCTACCAAGTGCTGTGCTGAGTACTTCAAAAGCCTTTTGTTACTTAATCTTCTCCATAAACTCGTAAGGCAGTTAATATTAGCTTCCTCGTTTTACAGATGAAGGAATGAAAAATTAGCAACGTTAAATGACCTGCTTGAGGTTATATAAATAGTGAGTTTGCAAGCAAGTATGAAGCCTTGGTCCCTTGACTCGTGTATTTGACCTCTGTGCTGTACCATTTTTCGGGCTCGTTGTCCCTGTGTAATTTGATTGAAGAAGATGCCTGGCAGTACCTGAATTTATTACAAAGCTGTTTATAAAGTTTTCTTGATTATTCATTTTGACTTCTCTGTAACTCTGATAATTAAGGGTTGAATGTTCAGAAAATTTATCAGCTCACCACTTTCCTCAGGGGGTTTACAAGTAGTAAAATAAATAAAATTGGCCTTCTTTACTACTTGTCCAACATTACACTCCCTAGGTGAGCTGGTAAGTGGCTCTTTATGTGATAGTTTTTTAATGACTACCCAGTTCCTTCCTGTCGCCAGAAACAGCACAGGGTTTGGTTAAAGCACTGAGCCTGCAAATCACAACAGTTATAGGGGACACAGTTTATATCAAAAACAAAATCAATTCTGCTTCTGGGTCATTTACACTTTGTAGCTTCTTGTCACTCGTATAAAGCTTCCAAGATTTTTTATGCATTTCCCATTCTCTGACTTTTTACAATTAGAATCTTAATGGGTTTGCTCTGGATTTTAAGGGCATGTCTGCTTTAGCAAAGGGAGGAAAGTAATTCAGGAGTTTTCCAGATAATTAGAGTAATTGTCTTTGACTTTGTACTTTTATAAGTATTTTAATGTGCTGGCTCCAAAGTGGGTTTGTGAACCGAGGGGATGTGCCTGTTAGCTCATTGGGTGTGGGAAGGATATTTTAGAAAGCCTATTTTTATCTTTATCTTTTATTTTATTTTTTGAGAGAGAGAGGGCAGGGGAGGGGCAGAGAGAGAGGGAGAGAGAATCTTAAAGCAGGCTCCCCGCCCAGCCCAGAGCCTGATGCTGGGCTTGATCTCATGACCATGAGATCATGAACTGAGCTGAAATGAAGAGTTGGATGCTCAACCAGCTGAGCTATCCAGGTACTCCTGTCTTTATCTTTTAAAATTTTCTATTTTGTGTTTATAAAGTACGTAATACAGCCACATATAAATATATGCATATTTATTAATTATCTAATAATTATTTGTGCTCATTTTTTTTTAACTGATAGGAGTATACAGTTAGATCTGTTATATTAACAATACTTGCAGCCTCAGTCATTTCATTTGGCTCTAGAAGTCCATCACTGTAATATGTATTCTTGGCTCTGGGCCATTTTGTTTATTTGTGTAAAAGTACTTTTGATTGTAATTATTCCTGGTGGAATATCTGTGATCCATTTAGTATCCTGAACCAGTCTTCAAAGACATGATATATTATCAGCCTCTTGATTTTATGTGGGTGGATCATTTGCCCTGTCAGGTTCCATCCTGGGCAAGATTTCTCCAAAGCTGTTGGAGTGCTGTAGAGTCTTAATTCACGAATCTGTAAATATTCTTTCACAAGAGTGAAGGAGTAAATGGTAGTCACAGAGTCATATTACTCATTTCCATATCTCCTATGAATGACTTTAGCATGATCAGACATTTTGGGTTATTTGAAATGTAGCTCCCTTTCTTTAGCAGAAATATATATATATTCTTTTAAAAATTTTAAAAATGTTTATTTATTTAAAGAGAGAGTGAGGGGCAGAGAGAGATGGAGAGAGAGAGAATCCCAAGCAGGCTTCATGCTGTCAATACAGAGCATGAATGTGGGGCTTGAGCTCATGAAGTGTGAGATCATGACTTGAGCTGAAATCAAGAGCTGGATGTTTAACCAACTGAGCCACCTACATGCCCCTCTTTACAAAATTTATTTAAATTCTAGTTAGTTAACATATAGTGCAATACTGGTTTCAGAAGTAGACTACATTCAGTGATTCATCACGTACATACATCACCCAGTGCTCATTACAAGTGCCCTCCTTAGCACCCATCACCCATCTAGCCCATGCCCCACACCCACACCCCTCCATCAACTGTTTGTTCTTTATAGTTAAAAGTCTCTTATGGTTTGTTTCCCTCTCTTTTTCCTTCCTCCAATATGTTCATCTGTTTTGTTTCTTAAATTCTAATATGAACGAAATCATATGGTATTTGTCTTTCTCTGACTTATTTCTTTTTTTTTAATATAAAACATAAGTCATGATTTAATTTTTTCTGCAATAAGATAGAAAATGTAACTTAAAAAATCAAGATAGAAAATAATAACAAAGAAAAGCTATTATCATTGATGTTGTAACTTCAGTCTTGGTATCCAAGCAGGTTGGTTTTTGTTAACACAAGCATAGGTATCATTTCCTTGGTTCACATATTTCTTATTATAAACAATTGAAGTTGTTTCACATTCCATTACTAGTATTTTGTGGTTTCTTACTCAGTCACTTTGGAATTCTTTTTTTTTTTTTCCTGATAGTTTATTGTCAAATTAGTTTCCACATAACACCCAGTGCTCATCCCCAAAGTGCCCTCCTCCATGCCCATCCCCCCTCCCCCCCACATCCATCAGTCCTCAGTTTTTGTCAGCATTCAAGAGTCTCTCATGGTTTGCCTCTCTCCCTTTCCCCCACCATTTCCCCCCTTCTTCTCCCCCTTGTTCCTCCGTCAAGTTCCTCCTAATCCTTCTATACGTGCAAACATATGGTATTTGTCCTTCTCTGCCTGACTTATTTCGCTCAGCATAACACCCTCAAGGTCCATCCATGTGGCTACACATGGCCAGATTTCACTGTTTCTCATTGCCATGTAGTATTCCATGGTATAGATAAACCACATCTTCTTGATCCATTCGTCTGTTGATGGACACTTAGGCTCTTTCCATGTTTTGGCTATTGTGGAGAGTGCTGCTATGAACATTGGGGTACATGTGCTCCTATGCCTCAGCATTTCTGTATCCCTTGGGTAAATTCCTAGCAGTGCTATTGCTGGGTCATAGGGGAGTTCTATTGTTAGTTTCCTGAGGAACCTCCACACTGTTTTCCAGAGGGGCTGTACCAGTTTACATTCCCACCAACAGTGTAGGAGGGTGCCCGTTTCTCCACATCCTCGCCAGCATCTAGAGTTCTCTGATTTGCTCATTTTAGCCACTCTGACTGGCGTGAGGTGGTATCTCAGTGTGGTTTTGATTTGTATTTCCCTGATGAGGAGGGATGCTGAGCATCGTTTCATGTGTCTGTTGGCCATCTGGATGTCCTCTTTGGAGAAGTGTCTGTTCATGTCTTCTGCCCATTTCTTCACTGGGTTGTTTGTTTTTCGGGCGTGTAGTTTGGTGAGTTCCTTATAGATTCTGGATATTAACCCTTTATCTGATATGTCATTTGCAACTATCTTTTCCCATTCCGTTGGTTGCCTATTAATTTTCTGGGTTGTTTCCTTGGCTGTGCAGAAGCTTTTAATCTTGATGAGGTCCCAACAGTTTATTTTTGCTCTTGATTCCCTTGCTTTTGGGGATGTGTCAAGTAAGAAGTTGCTGCGGTGGAGGTCAAGGAGGTTGTTTCCTGCTTTCTCCTCTAGGGTGTTGATAGTTTCCTGTCTCACGTTCAGGTCCTTTATCCATTTTGAGTTGATTTTTGTGCATGGTGTGAGAAAATGATCTAGTTTCATTCTTCTGCATGTTGCTGTCCAGTTCTCCCAACACCATCTGTTAAAAAGGCTGTCTTTTTTCCATTGGATATTCTTTCCTGCTTTGTCAAAGATCAGTTGGCTGTATACTTTTGGGTCCACTTCTGAGTTCTCAATTCTGTTCCATTGGTCTATGTGTCTGTTTTTGTGCCAATACCATACTGTCTTGAGGATGACAGCTTTGTAGTAGAGGCTGAAGTCTGGGATGGTGATACCTCCCGTTTTGGTTTTATTTTTCAGTATTACTTTGGCTATTCGGGGTCTTTTGTGGTTCCATACAAATTTTTGGATAGTTTGTTCTAGTTTTGAGAAGTATGCTGGTGCAATTTTGATTGGAATTGCATTGAATGTGTAGAGTGCTTTAGGTAGTAATGACATCTTAACTATATTTATTCTTCCTATCCATGAGCATGGAATGTTTTTCCATTTCTTTGTGTCTTCTTCAATTTCCTTCATAAGTTTTCTATAGTTTTCATCATACAGATCTCTTGTATCCTTGGTTAGGTTTATTCCGAGGTATTTTATGGTTTTTTGTGCAATTGTGAATGGGATCAGTTTCTTGATTTCTCTTTCTGTTGCTTCATTATTGGTGTATAAAAATGCAACCGATTTCTGTACGTTGATTTTGTACCCTGCAACTTGGCTGAATTCTTGGATCAGTTCTAGTAGGCTTCTGGTGGAGTCTGTCGGGTTTTCTATGTAGAGTATCATGTCATCTGCGAAGAGTGAAAGTTTGACTTCCTCTTTGCCAATTCTGATGCCTTTGATTTCCTTTTGTTGTCTGATGGCTGATGCTAGGACTTCCAGCACTATGTTAAACAACAGTGGTGAGAGTGGACATCCCTGTCGTGTTCCTGATCTCAGGGGGAAAGCTCTCAGTTTTTCCCCGTTG